AAATCTTTGCACCAATGTTATTTTTGTCACTGTAGAGAAATCTACGCATCGTTCTTCCCGCACAAGAAGAAAGGTGCATGAAACTGCTCTTTGCAGCACCAATTTGGTGCAAGCTAAAAATTTGATCCAAGTTTCCACTAGCCTATCTACTACACTAGTAGAGTCTTCGGTAACTCAATGAAGAATGGGTATCGAAACTGTTGCCTCCCTCTATTGTGTAGCAAGTCCTGGTGCCTCACGAAGTAATTAGAAATCTTTAAATCTTCTCAGATTGTGAGCATAGTGAGTTGTTGGTATTGTTTCACTTTATTGCAGCTTTTATGCAGCTTCATCTAGAAACAGTTGTAAATATTGATAGATGAAGATTACGGAATATCCTGCAGATTCTAATTGATTTTCTCTAGAAATCTTAATAGTCGCTTCTAAGCCTATTGCCCATTTGCTCACTTTCTAATTATGCACCACCTTGTCTGCAACCCACGCGACGCCACTGGCTTTGAAGTACCTCAGGATACAGTATAGGGTCATATCCTGCATATTATGTTATATATACACAGCCATCTGCAAATGTGATTAGAAAGCATTTTAAACTACCGCGTGTACACAGATCATACACAGTGTATACATTTATTTCAGCATCTGAAAACGTTGGCCGTCACAATCGGTATGTATATTGACGATGTCAAGAAAGGGATTCTTGATAATTAACTCCAACTTAATGAAAACAAAACTGATATTCATGTATGTAACCCAAAGAAAAGTCATATATACTCATTGACGTAGATCACATTTGCAAAAATGAAAATGAATATGAAAAACTGTATTTTAAAGAAACTGGGAGTGCAGTTTGATTCCAAATTGGCAATGGAACCTCACGTCAATTATTATTCAGGTGCCTTTTTATTTTGTGGTTTGCGTAGAATTGAGCTCCCTGTATCAGCTAGAATATTGAATGAAATTACAATATTATGGTCAAGCGTGTTAGTAACAAGGTTCCATCATATCTTAAGGATCTTATCCAGATTTATGCTCCATCTAGATCTAGATCACTGAGATCAGACAGTCAGTATCTATTAAAAGAGAGTTAAGACAACTTGAGAGGAGGTAATAAGTTCCCTTAAATATCCTTCGCCCATCTTGTTCCATAAGTTTGTAACTCCCTTCCACAACCCCTGAGCATGGGATACACAAAATCAGAGTCTTATGTATAAGATTATTAAAATGCGCATTTAATGAAATCATTCAAACCCAATAGTTTCATTTTCGGTACAATAGGATGTAAATGACTATGTATCTATTCTATGTATTTTTTGTTAATCAAAGGATCGCATTGTGTGTATCACAATGTGTACTTGTACGGCTTACTCAAAATAATTCAAATTGCATGTGGGAGCGTGTGTGCATGTGTGCGAGTGTGTGTGTGTGTGTGTGTGTGTGTGTGTGTGTGTATGTGTGTGTGTGTGTACGTGTGTGCGTGTG